TGTACGGTCACTGTAAAATAGTTTGGCAGTTCCTTTAAAAATGTATTACCATCCTTTGCGGCAGTTGCAGATGAAGACTTATTTTCACTCATAGTCTTGTACATGAATGTTCACAGCAGCTGCGTTCATAATAGCCAAGAACTTGAAAGTACCCAGATGTCTTAATGGGGAAATGGATGAGCTAAGTGCGGTATATCCATTCAATGGAAAACTACTCAAGAATAAAAGAAGAATTAACTATTGATGGATGCAGCAACTTGGGTGGACCTCAAAAAAATTATACTGAGTGAAAACAGTCTCAAAAAGATACATAATGTATGATTTTCCATGTTGTTAGGTACTATCGAGTCGGCTCTGACTCATAGCAACCCTGTGTATAACAGAACAAAACGTTGCTCAGTCCTATGTCATTCTCACAATTGTTGCTATGTTGAGCCCATTGTTGCAGGCACTGTGTCAATCCAGTTTGTTCAGAGTCTTCCTCTCTTTTGCTGATCTTCTACTTTATCAAGCATGATATCCTTCTCCAGGGATTGGTCCCTCCTGATAACATGTCCAAAGTAAGCAAGAGGAAATCTCGCCATCCTTGCTTCTAAGGAGCATTCTGGCTGTACTCTTCCAAGACAGATTTGTTCGTTCTCTTGGCGAAAAAAAAAACAAACCTGTTGCCGTCGAGTCGGTTCTGACTCATAGCGACCCTATAGGACAGAGTCGAATTGCCCCCAAAGGGTTTCCTAGGAGCAGCTAGTGGATTTGAACTGCCAACCTTTTGGTTAGCAGCCAAGCTCTTAGCCACTGCCCCAGCAGGGCTCCCGTTCTTTTGGCAGTCCATAGTATATTCAGTACTCTTCACCAACACCACATACTCCCCTATAACTCTGTAGCTATTCCCGTATGTCTTTTCATAATTCATCTCCCATCTCTTGGCCTGACCCTGCCTGTTTCTTATCTTCCTTTACTTCCCCTACTCTCTGACCTGTATCACAAAAGTTCAGATATATTATACACACATACACAGACACATAAACGCACATGTAAAACATTCACGAAATAACAGTTATATAGATGGAGATCAGGTTAGTGGTTGACAGAGGTTAGTCATTGGGAGAGTCACTGTGGCTCTGAATGCTTATGGTGATAGTACAGTTAGGTATCTTGATTATGATGGTGGTTCCATGAAGCTACACATGTGATAAAAATGCATAGATTACACACAGACACACAAATGTGGCATGTATAGTAGTGAAATCTCTATGGTTTGTACTAGTGTTGGTTTTGCTGGCGTAGTGGTTAAGAACTCAGCTGCTAACCAAAAGGTCGGGAGTTTGAACCCACCAGCCACTCCCTGGAAGCCCTGTGGAGCAGTTCTACTCTGTCCTGTAGGGTTGCTATGAGTCGGAGTTGACTCGGCGGCGACGGATTTTTTGGTTTATAGTTATGCAAGATGCTAAAACTGGGAGAGGCTAGGTGAAGGGTGCATCGGACTTCCCTGTACATTTCTGTTCACCTTGCTGTGAACCTAAAATTATTTCATACTAAAAAGTTAAATTAAAAAAAAACAAAAAACTTCAGAGTGACTAATTCTTCACTTATATTTTTCAAAGACCATAAAGGGAAGATATAGACTGTAGCGATACTTCTTAAAATACTCAGTTCTCCACCACATACCCACCCCATTGCCACTGAGTCAGTTCTGACTCAAAGCGACCCTATATGACAGAGGAGAACTGCCCCCATAGGGTTTCCAAGGCTGTAATCTTTCTGTGGAACCAGATCGCCACGTCTCTCTCCTGAGGTGTGGCTGATGGGTTCGAGCCGCTGACCTTTGGGTTAGCAGCTGAACACTTAACCACTGTGGCACCAGGGCTCCAAGGTAGAAACTAAAAGGTTAAATTATAGAATTATTAGAAGCTTGTTGTTGGTAGGTGCTGTTGAGTCAGTTTCAACTCATAGCCACCCCATGGGACAGTAGAACTGCCCCATAGGGTTTTCTAGGTTGTAATCTTTATGGGAATAGATGACAAGGTCTTTCTCCTGCGGAGCTGCTGGGTGGGTTTTGAACTCCCAACCTTTTGATTAGCAGCCAAGCGTTTAACTGTTATGCCACCAGGACTCCTTTATTAGAAGGTGGAATTGGTAATTCCTGGCAGTCAATTGTACATAGCAGATAAGAGAGAGGAGGCAAAGATAACTGAGGTTGCTAACTTTGGTGGCTGATCGTGATCAGTAACTGAGATAGGAATAAGATCATGTAGTAAAAACATTGATGAAGTGAGGTTTCTGAATTGTTTGGGGTAGATATGCTACATAAGAGTGGAGTTTTCTAGATGTCAGTTAAATATACCCAGAATTCTCTAGTTCAAGGGAAAGGCCTGTGAGGTTGGTTGAGATTTAGGAATTGGCAGCGTATGTTAAAGCCCAGGGGAAGAGAAGAGAAGGAGGACTTGAGAAGGAAACTCTGGAGAACATTTAGTGATGAACCAAGGAAGAGAGGCGCCCGTGAAAATACCGAAGGCTGGGAGAACCCGCGCTAGAGGGCTGTTATAAATACTGGAAAAGAAGAGGGGCTGTTTGTTGGGTTGTTTTATAGACTATTATGAATATTTTCATTTATATAGTCGGTCAAGAGTAATGTTTTTACGGAATATTAAGTGAATATGGGAAGTAACTCAGGATATAATATTAAGTGAAAATCAGGGTAGCTATGGTAGAATATTTTGTAAAAATAAACATATGTATTCATATGTATGCATAGAAGGAAATTTGGAAGGGAATAGCCTTAAACTGTAAGCTTCTCAGATGGTAGAATTGTGATTGATTTATATTCTCTTTATAAATTGTTCACAGTGAACTTATTCTGTTATGAGAGAAAAGTGTATATAAATTAAATTGATTTAGTCAAAACTGATTTCCAGTTGAAATGTTAAGTTTAAAAATCGCTGAAAACGGTCCATCTGAATTTTGACATAGAAGGACATTGTTGACCTTGGAGAGAAAAGTTTCATAGGCATGGTGGGATCAGAAACCAGTTTGCAGTGGGTTAAAAAAATGAATGGAAAGCAGGAAAATGGACAATCAACATAAAAAGTACTATGCTTTCAACAAGCTGGTAAAAATGTAACGTTTATTGGCAACAGACAGGGAAGTGGGTCTGAGATGATTGTTTTTAAGTTGAAAGGAACCTGAAGCATGCTTTTGTGCTGAAGGAAGAAAAAGTAGATAATTTGACAATGTGATACTTTTATTGAAGGATGTTAATAATTTCTAATAAGGAGATACAGTCCATTATCATTATTTATGGTAGTTTTGTTCTAGAGTTGCCCCAAACACTGTATTAGTGAATATGGAACCATTGCTTCTGGGGAAATACGGAGTTAGGTACTTGGCAACACTTTAGTTAGCCAGTCAATACATAACCTTATTCTACAGGTGTTTCTGTTTAAAGAGGCCTTATTTAAATATTTGTTTATTCATTAACACTGAACTCATGACCAGCATCTCTATAACTCGTGCCTAAGGGAGGCATGTCTAACACACAGATCTTCTCCTGAAGGTATAGCACAGCCTTCTGGTGCCTAGGAACATTAGCCAGCACCTCAGTACTGTGCTGGGGTGCCAACAAAAAGTACAAAAGAGCAGAAAACATGGCATTAACTAGACCACGAGAAGGACTCTTGGTTACGGTATGAGAGGTGGCAAGGCAGGACAATATCAAATCACCTTGTTCAGCCTCAGCTGGAAGCGTGTGCAGCGGGCGACTCAAATGTTTCGCTGCTCTATGCATGTCCACATGTGGCCATCAAAGCGCCACAAGTATTGACGTTAGGGTCGCAAAAAAACTTCAGCAGCTAGACAAACTGGCAAATAATGATTGATGTTAAGGTTGCAAATAAAATTTAACAACTAGGCAAATCCACAAATAATGAGAATCAACTATAGTTCCATGTTTTTGATAAACTATGTTCAAACATGAGTCGGTGATGGGCTATGATCATTTGTAGTATAGCAACAGGACCTGCCTGAGTGCAAAGAGTTTGCATTAGATCTTGCAATTAATATACAACACATTTGTTGAATTCAGAAGCAGTGAGCTCAGATGTTTTATTGTGTGTGTATTTAGTACATAAACAAACGTCTGTGTAATAGATTGGTGCTTTGTGGAGGAAATAATTTGATTTGAGGTTTAGCTAATCTCCAAAGCAGTGTTAAAAACCTGTTTATGTAAATGCCTAATAAAAACATAGCTGGTCTGTGTTTTCAATAAGTGTGTTTTGGGTTTAATTGCTTCCTTCTGTTATCACTGAATGCATTTGTTAAATTGATATCGAAACATGCTAGGTTTTGTTATCAGAGTTTATGCGCTAGAAATGATCAGTGTTTGCCAAAAGAAATGAAGTGGCACCTGGATATTCCTAGATAGGATGATGATGTGGCCTTAGTCGTTCTTAAACTTAGTACATTAAATGATGAACAGGGATTCCTGCAAAACCTGGCAGCTCTGTATGGAGGCAGGTCCAGCTCTTCAAGAGGAGGGAAGCCGAGAAACAGTGAGGAAGAGGTATGCTTCCTGCATGTTCTCTCCCGCCGCCACACAGCCGTCTTTGAGTTTATTGCCTGCTTTTCTTGCATGGTTTAAATTCTTAACAAGTATTGGAAGATTTTGTGGGTCTGTAGGGACCTCTTAATATGTTTTGACTGACATACTGTGTCATAATTTTGCCCTATAACTGCTCTTCAGTATTCTCAGTTGAATTTCTTTTCTTTTGGTAAAAGTTTAAAAGTACAATGTACTTCTTTTCAGAAATAAGTTGATCTAAATTAAACACTTAAAAGCAAATATACCATTTTTCATTAATCAAATTTTTTATTTCATGTTTTCAGATTAACACTTTTTCTTAAATCTATATTTATATATATGTGTGTGTGTGTGTATATAGCAGTAAAAATGTGGATAGGTTTTCTATTAAATTAATATGTTGCTTTTTTTTTTTTCCTTGCAGGTTTATCTGGCAAGGCTAAGACAAATAAGACTACAGAATTTCAATGAGCGCCAACAGATCAGAGCCAAACTTCGTGGTGAAAAGGCAGGTTGAAAATCAATTTTTTAAAAAGTAATTGGATGACATTATAATATATTAAGATTAAACATGTTTGTGCCACTAATGCGAAAATAAAAAGTGATGAAGAAGTGAAAGTGAGAGGGCAGAAACTATACAGTTAAAGTAAATCTTATTTGTGTGATTTAGAATTAATAAGACCATTTGTTCTTGAGGAATTGAGAGTGGAAATTATAAGTAGTGCCCGAGGAGGAATAAAAGTATGTTTTATACCATCCTGTTTTTATCTTTTTGTCCCATTGTCCCTAAGGGTTGATAGTTGTGGAGAGTTCATTTGTAGCCATGGGAGAAAATGAACAACACTGAGTGACTCCCGGTTTCCGAACTCAGTACATACATCTCGTCCTCCATGGAGCTCTGCCCTGGGTGCGATAGTCCCGTCCTGAATAGTTTGCTGATCTGCTTATTTTTCAGAAAGAAGCTGATAACTTCGAAGGACAAGAAGGGAGTGAAGAGGCTGACATGAGGCGCAAAAAGATTGAAGCATTTAAGGTATAGACTAAATACGATGCAGGTTTTTTGTTTTGTTTTCGAAAAAAATTGAAACCTGAGATACAGATTTATGTTCTTGCATAGTTAAGTCACTTTACTCTCTTACCCTAATTTTTCTTCCTGTCTCTATCCCTCACTTTTTGGTTTTTTGAAAAATAGCATTTTTCACTTTTTATATCACATAACGTATGAACAACAATTAGATGAAACCACAGCATAAGTAAGTACATGAAGCTATCACACAGGTAACCTTAAAAAGAAAAAAGTAGATGAAAATTACACAATTGTCCACTTCTTTGAAGATCAATAAAATGAAGCCCAGGTATAATCATCACTGTGTTAACTTTTCTGTTAGAATGTACCTGTATCTGTTTACATTCAATAAATATTTACTGAGTACTTGCTGTGCGAGTGAGCTTACATTCTGATTCTGGAAACATTGGAGCCCCCCTCCCATCTTTTTTGGCTAAAAAAGATGTAGTATCTTTGTAGACCTGAAAAAATGCTAAACGCTTCTCTGTGATAACTAAGTTTGTGATTTTTTTTGTTTCCAGTCCCAAGCAAGTGCACGCGCAGCGATACTAAAGGAACAACTAGAGCGGAAGAGAAAGGAAGCGTATGAGAGAGAAAAGAAGGTGTGGGAGGAGCACGTAAGATGGAGCGCTTTTGTTTTTATATTTTATTGTTTTTTTGGTGGAGGTTTGCGGAGCGAAGTAGCTTCCCATTCAGCAAGTTGTACACGAAATGTTCCAAGACGTCGGCTGCAGTCCCCTCAATGTGTCAGCACTCTCCCCATTTCTGCTGCAGGTTTCCCATTACCTTTAGCCTGGTTTATCTATCCTTGCAGCCTCCTCGTCTTTGCTTTGGGGCATATGTTGCCCTTTCGGTCTCGTGTAATTAACTCTTCTAGGGAGCTTGTTCCCCTCGGGTGTTCCTGTTTATTTTGTAGGCCTGTCCATTGTTTGGCTGAAAGGTCGTCTCCGGGAATGGCTTCCTTCCGTGTTAGAAGGATGTCTTAGGGCCATAGCCTTGGGGGTTCCTCCAGTCTCTATCAGACCAGTAAGTTCTGGTCTTTTTTATGGATTTCATTTTTGTTCAATGTTTTTCTCCCACTCTGCCCAGAACCCTCTATAGTGATCCTAGTCAGAGCAGTTGGTAGTGGTAGTCGGGCACCATCTAGTTCTTCTGTTCTCGGGGTCATGTAGGCTGTGGTTCAAGTGGTCCATTAGTCCTTTGGAGTAATTGCTCCCCTGAGCCTTTGGTTTTCTTCACTCCCGTTTGCTCCAGCCAGGATGAGACCAATAGTTACATCTTACTTAGGTGGCTGCTTGCAAGCCTTTAAGATCCTAGATGCTATTCATAAAGTGGGATGTAGAATATTTTCTTTATGAACTATGTTATGCCAGTTGACATAGATGTCCCCTGAGTCTATGGTCCTCAGACTTTAAGCCTAGTAACTTTGCCCTGTGAGGTGTTTGGTTATGTCTAGGAAGTTTCCATGACTATGCCCCTTGTGGGTTCTGTTGTCTATGTTAATATACATGCAGCATTTACAAATGTGTATGTAGAAATATTCACAGCCCAACCTATATCAGCAGGTGGGTGTGCTCCCTTGCACCCTCCGTCTCCTCTTTAGCATACCTCGATACCTGTATATCCATTCATAGATTATTATTTGTTCATGCTGTCGTTGTAGGGTTGTCTGTGTTACGGTAAGTACTGGGATTGCCGTTTCTTCTTGTGTTCCTCTCAGTGCCTTCCTTTGCCTTGGTCCTGTTGTCCTGACTTCTCCCCTATTGTGTAATGTCTTTCCGTTTACACATCTTCTTTCTAGTTGGTTAGCACATTTTTTTTTTTTTTCATTTTTGAATTTTTTTTAATAATTTTTTTATTGCACTTTAGATGAATTAGATGAAGGTGTATAGAACAAATAGCTTCTCATTAAACATTTAGTACACATACTGTTTTATGACATTGGTTAACAACCCCACGACATGTCAACACTCTCCCTTCTCGACCTTGGGTTCCCTGTTACCAGCTTTCCTGTCCCCTCCTGCCTTGTAGTCCTTGTCCCTGGGCTGGTGTGCCCCATTAGTTTCGTTTTGTTCTGTGGGGCTGTCTAATCTTTGGCTGAAGAGTGACCCTTGGGAGTCAC